CTGCTTCAAGGTATGCTGGAGGTTGCTTCCCACCCTGCTCCCCAACCTTCCCAGAGCAGAGAAGGCATGAAAGGCTCCCTGGGATTGCACCAGTGGGGGCTGGTGTCACCATAGGGATGGGCTTAGAGGGTTGGGCAGAACTAAGGGAGCATCCCCCGCTCCTGATCCAGTGCCCTTGCTTCTGCTTTGCCCCAGCCCCTCTCATGGTGCTGACATGGGGTGGGGTGAACCCTCCTGGGCCCCCGGGGGATGGGGGGGGGGGGGGCAGGGGTGCTCAGCATGGCAACAGCTCAAGGGAGTCCTGCAAGCAGACAAGGGGGCAGCCCCTTTCCTAAATTCATCAAGACACAGCAGGGCCACAGCACTGGGACAGGCAGACCAGCCTCCTGGCTTCTATTCCTGGCTTTAGGAGGTAACACGTCCGGCTGGTTGGCACAGTGGGGAGGAGCAGCCGTCAGGACGCCTGGGTTTTCTTTCCCCTGACTTACCCTCCCCCCTCCCACGTTCCTGCTGCAAAGAAGAGGGTATTGCCTGGAGCAGTGGCCTTTGCCATGCCAGTGCCAGGCTGCCTGAGGGCCTTGCCCCATGCACTACTAGCCAAGGACTGGCTGGAAAGCCCAGATGGACCCATGCCCTTTTGTAGGGGCTAGCAGCCTTTTTCCCAGTGGGCCTGGCTCAAGGCTGGAACATGGATTGGTGGAGGCAGAGGCTTATCTTTCCCTTTTAGGAGTGTGACTGCTGCATTGGCACTGTGTCCCTTCCAGGCTCTGTGAGTAATAGGGGAGGAGAGAAAGCCATTGAGAAGGGGGGGGGTGACATGGGGCCAGACAGGCACAGCTTTCATGACCCAACATCACCTTCCTCCTCCACACACACTCAGTGAAATAACACTCCCCTCCCCTCAATCCAGATCAGAGATATAGGGCTGGAAGCGGGGAGGAGTGGGGGCTTGCAACATGTCCTGCTCTGGGTCAGGGTCAAGGCTGCTCACTTTGGCAGCTGTTTATCAGGCCTGGTCTTCAGACTGAAGGGGCCTGTGCGCAGCTTGTCCCAGCATGGCAGAACTCCCAGGACCAGGAGCCTGCTGTAGTAGCTAGCGCTGGGCAGGCCTCACCCGGTGAAGTAGGGCCAGGTTGGGCACTGCATGGCAGGAAAGATGTGGACACATTGGAAAGTGTCCAGACTGGAGCAGCAGCAGTGATTAGAGGCCTGGGAAACCGGCCTGATGAGGAAAGTCTGGAAGAATGGGGATTAACGAGCCGCCTGGAGAAGAAAAGGCTCAGGTGGGGAATTTGATATCAGTGTGGAAATACAGGAAGGACGGCTATATAGAGGATGGTGATGGCCTCTTCTCTGGGTCTACAGGGCAAGAAGGAACAGGCCTCAATTGTAACGGGAGATTCAGTGGATGTGTCTCACTTGGAGGGTGGTTCAGCACCAGGACAGGTTCCCTAGAGGCTGTGACTCTGTTCCTAGAAGTGATCAAGGGGAGGTTGGACAAGCACTTGGCTGGGGGGTTCTATGCGGTGCCGATCCTACCTGGAGCAGGGGGTCGGCCCAATCACTGGCTCAGAGGCTTCCCCAATAACTTGAAGCCTCTGGCTGCTGCTCATCCATTCCCCCTGGAGCACAAGGGATCAGTCCTTTCTACAGGCCCCTCTACACTTTTTCTCCCCCACCTTCCCCCTGCCCCCAACACCTCCAATGCCCGTTGCTGGCAGCTACACTGAGTGAGTAGGCGGCAGCAGGACAGTGCCCTCGAACCCCAGGCCCTGGTAAACACCATGTCCTGTCACCCCAGGTGAGGCTGGAGGTGGGGGCAGTGTTCATTAGGTGCATGGGTGAGCCACAGGCTGGGTACCACTGCTATGAAGGCTAGGAAAAGACAGAGTCTGTGGAAAATACCTCCCTACCAGAGGGGAGGCAGTAAAGCAAGGAGCAAACAACCCCCACACCAGGGAGGAAACAAGTGGTGCTGAGGGGAAGGGCATCAAGTCGCAGCACTGCAATGCCCCCCACCCCAACCTGCCTTGGACACAGCTCTGGGGGCACTGGGGTGCTTTATAGCTGCAGGGTGATGGCCTCATGGAAGAGGAAGGAAGCATGCAGCAAGGAGAAAGCACTTCCCAGTGGCAGCCCGGGGATGGGGTGCAGGAGCTACTCCCCTGGTGATACAGTGAAATCATACCCACTGGCAGGGCTTTACAGGCTCTGGTTGGACTGGCAGGGAGTGTGGCAAGACAACAACAATGGTATGGGGGGCGCGTAGAAATACCAGTGCCTCTGAGTGGTTAATCTGGGGCACCTGGGGGCTGCCTGGAACAAGCTGGGGTGAAACCAGAGCAGGCAGTTCTGTAGCTTATTTTTTACAGTAGAAAGATCAAGCAAGGCTGGGAGGTGTGGGGGTGCCGGGAGGGGGCAGGGCCACAGAACAAAGGGACAGGCCTGGCACCACCAGCGGGTGCTGCTCTGCAGTGGCCTCAGCCCCAGGTCTCTGCCCCACCTCTGGCCCCGAGAGGTAGTCTCCACCCTGGCCTGCAGGCTGCCTGCCCCTAACACAGCCCCATGGCACCTCCTGTCTGCACCCCTATTGCCAGGTCTCAGGTCCCGTCCCCCACCCCCTTGCAAGGAAAGGGGCTGTGCCCCTCCCTCAGGCCTACAACGAGTGAGAGGAGTTGTAGGTGGAGTCTGAGTAGGGACTGGGATCAGACTGAAATCCTGATCTTCCTGGGGAAGGGGGCCCTGCTGCAGGTGGGGCAGAGACCGGGACATAAGGGCTAGACATGCTGGCCTGGGGCTGAGCAGCATACAGCCATGCAGCACTGGTGCCTGCTTGATACCATCCACTCCAGGCCTGGGTCTGCTTCGGAGAACATCAATGAGCAGAGCGGTGGGCTGAACCGTGGTGGCTGATTTTGCCCCTGTGCTCCAGATATAATCCAGCAAGGGGCTACCCAAAAGCAGAATCCAGCCCTGGGATCAGGCGCTTTGCCCAGGGTCTATGGCACAGGAGCTGCAGGGCTGGGGGAAGGTATGCCTCTGCTGGCTGGTCCCAGCCAAAGGAACAGGTGCTGGAGCCCTGGGGGGCAGGACAGAGGGATCCAGGCTCATGACGTGGGGACAGGCCCCTGTGTATGCAGGCACTTGCCGGCAGGCAGCATATCCTGCCCTGCCCCTCCTTGCTTGGCACCACTGGCCCTTGACCCTCAGCCACAGGGAAGGCGTGACAGCTCCCAGGGTACATGCTGTCCTGGCAGCCACTCCTGCCCTCAAAGGCAGAGTCCTCTCAAGGGCATCAAGAAGGGTTTAAAAGGCAGGGTCAGCGCAGTGCCATGCCCCAGCCACCCTGAAGCCCATGGGGTGCATGTACCCAATGCTCTCTGGTGCCAGGGGCACAGGTCCCACCTCTTCCCCCTCCCCAGACACCCAGCACAGGAGCCAGCCAAGCAGGGGAGAGGCTGAGCTAGGCGGCTGGGTCCGAGTCACTGGCGAGAGGGTGTGTGTGAGCACAGCTGCCAAATGCCTACCAGGCCCCCCGCCAGCCATGTAAGGAAACCTGATCTGTACAGATCTGTGCAGCAACTTGTTGCTAGGGAAGCTTAGGGAGCAGGACTCCTTGGTTATATTCTCAGCCCCACCACATCAAAAAAATTCATGCCGACCCACAATAAAGCTGGGGAGGTGACTTTTTCAGGGTCACCAGGGAGTCAGTGCCAGAGCAGGACAGGCTGCAAGTCCTGAGAGAGTCACTGTTGATCACTGGGGACAGACAGCTGCTGTCATGGGCAGTGCTGCTCACACTTCAGAGTGACTAGATGGACAAAAGGCTGGGGGAGGAGACACTCAGGGACAGAGAGAAATCAAGGGGCAAGGGGAAGGGAGTTGTCTGCCTGGGGTCACAAAGCAGAAGAGAACCCCATCTCCTGGTTGCCAGCCCAAGGCACTGCCCCTTAGATAGCTCTAACACACCTGACCTGTCAAACACTGTGGATGTGGGCTTGTTGCCAGAGGACTTGGGCCAGGGTTCAAGGCCCAGCATGCTCCCAGGCCTGGGACCACAGGGAAGGCAAAGCACAAAATCTATGGATCCTGGTCCACCCATAGCCCACAGACCCTTTGCCCCCCAGGCGCAGAGACCAGACATTCTGGTTCAACTGTGTTTACTGAGCAACAACAGAGGAAACACACGACTTAATGCTTTGTGTCCGGGACAGAAACACAGCTCCAGCCCAAGATTAAAAAACATATATATACAGTAGATACTTCCATGGGACGTAAAAGCACGGTGGGGGGGAGGGCACACAACAAGGTGGGAGAGCACATGCAAGCAGTTCAGCAGTCCAACAACAAGATGTGGGGGGATGTAGGCACACTAGAAGGGAGGAATAGGCCCCGATTGGACCTAGACAGGTTACAGGGGTGGGTGGATGAGAACAGGATGGGTTTCAACACTGACAAGTGCAGGGTACTGCACCTGGGGAGAAAGAACCAGCAGCAGACCTACAGGCTGGGGAACTCCTTTCCTCATCAGTGCAGAGGCAGAAAAGGATCTTGGAATCATTACTGATGCCAAAATGAACATGGGCCGTCAGTATGGGGACACAGTCAGGAAGGCCAACCACACCTTGTCATGCATCCACAGATGCATCTTGAGCAGGTCCAAGGAGGTGATCCTCCCCCTCTATGCAACACTGGTCAGGCCGCAGTTGGAGTACTGTGTCCAGTTCTGGGCACCACACTTCAGGAGGGATGTGGGCAGCATTGAGAGGGTCCAGAGGGCCACCTGCATGATCAGGGACCAGCAGGGCAGGTCCTACGAGGAGAGACTAAGGGACCTGAACCTGTTCAGCCTCCACAATTGTTTGCTATTTATAAGACATTTTAATATACTTACTATGCCAGAAAACTGATCAAATACTCTTTTTCAAATAAGTAATTTTGTTCATTTGGACGTAAAGTATGACAGGGCTTTAAATTGAAATAATCCTTCTACATGTCCTGCCATGGCAGGGGGTCGGACTTGATGATCTGCTCAGGTCCCTTCCGACCCTACCAACTATGAAACAAGAAGCAGTGGTAGCAGCAGAGCAAGCTCTCCGGAAAGGACAGACCCCCATGTGGAAGGGAACATGCCACGCCACGCCACGCCAACCCTGCCCTGGGCAGATACAGACCCTCCCTCCCCAACCCCCCTCACCTCACACCTCTAAGTTCTCTGGGGTGGTGCAAAACCAACAGCCCAGATGCCAAGCAAGAGCCCTAAATCGCATGGCTGACACATGCAAGAGCCTTGCACGGCAGATGCTTCCCCCGCTCTCATGCATGCATAAGCTCATAGCTTGCTCTGCATAGCAACACAGCTTGCCTTGGTCCCCTGCCTCTCAACCAGGGCCCTGCAGCTGAGACGGACCTTGCAGAAGCACCTGGGGAGACCAAAAGGTCCCTGAGACCCAGATGAGCTGCTCGGAGCTGGAACAAGGCAGTGGTAACCCCCTTCCCTCCCCCTCCACCCCCCACAAATTTAATGAAGTTGACAGGAGTCTGGGGCACAGGCTGCAAGGAGCCAGTCTCAGCCCAAACTCCAATGCCCTTGACCCATTCCCTGACTTCTTCCCTTCCACTGCCTGAGCTCAGCCCAGCTGGGCCTCTGGTCAGCCCCTAGGGCCACCTGCAGTGAGCACAGGTGCCCATTGCTCCCGCTACCTCCCTTGCACCACACACGACGTACCTGGCCCTCTCCCCACTGGGAGGCTGGTAGCAGTCCCCCAACCCCAGCTCCCTCTGGGTCCACAGGCCTGCCTTCAGCCACTCCCACTATGCCCCACATAAGGCTCCCCCCACAAGTCTGAATCTGGGTCCATACGCAGGGTCCCTGCAAGCCCCAAATATGACCCTCTGCACACTCAGCAGAATACCAGGCCCTCTCTCCAGGTACCTTCTCCCCCCTCCCAGTGTATTTAAAACTCTCTCAAGCTAAGGGGCTGCTTTTCTCCCTACCTCTAAAAGCCTCCTCACTGCCCTCACTCCCACCCCTGTGGCAGGGAGGTAGTGGGCAAAGATCAGAGACACAGAAGGCAGCATGCCGGGACCCCAGCCAGATCTGGAGCAGAACAAGGGATCCTGACAAACCTGGGACAGTGCAAGGCACGGGCTGCTCTATGCTAGGTACCACAAAGGAATAAAAAAATGCATTCACACTCCTGATTGGGCAATCTGCCAATAGGAAGAGTCCGCTGGTCAATTTCTCCTGACAAAGTAGGGTTCGTGTTGGCAGTAGTTCTCTCTCCCCCCTACCGTGGCTTCTCCATCCATAAGCCTCACTGGCCACCCCAGACCTAGGTCACACGGTAGGTGGACGTGTTCTTTGGTTCCGTACTGGGCACGCACCAATCATCGGCCTCCTGGCTGGTCTGGTAGTGGCGCCAGGCTGACTTGTTATACACAGGAAGCCTCTCCACAGAGTCCGTTGACAAGGCCTGAGAAAGACACAAGGATGCTGGGAACAGCTCTTTGGTAACAGGTAGAGTCTTCCCCTGTGACCCACTGCCCCCTGGCAGGACCAGTCACCCCAAAGTACTCAGGGCGCAATTAAAGCCAACCATTAAGAGATCAATTGTTGCCAGGTGTATTTCTACCTTGTGTTCTACCCAACTTCAGACTACCATGGCTGCCTACCTCTCTCCAAAAGAAAAGTGTAACGAAAGTAACATTTTAGCCCACAATGCTCCAAACACTTATGCACCTGCCTCACTTTGTACGGCTCGGTAGCCAGATCAGAGTCAAAGGACTGATTCAGGAATCAAGGCCATTTTTACTAGTGAATTTCATATGTATTTATATTCTTTTGCTCATGGCAGTTTGGTAAACTTCACAGTCTTCTTCCACATGAATGGCATTGGGAACAAGAAAACACCAGTTATGATGTACCATGAACTACATCAGCTGTTGCAGCAGCAAATCCCCAGACAAGATTTTGCAAAACCCCTGCTTGCTTGACATCAAAGGCTAAGTAACTGCCAACATGCACAAAAACACTCCCTACAGGCTATTGCAGTGCAGAAGCTGGATGCAGACAGGTCTTTCGATCTCCTTGCACTGCAGTGATTCAAGCGTATCTAGAAGCCTGGCTATTTCACCTCTCAGTTGGGTTCACTAACTCCAGATAAGCCATTCAGGGTGACCCAGCACATAGGGGACATCCATGAAAGGCTCACATACCAGTGAGGAGGGCTGCCTTGCCAAGGTAAAGCAATCACCCTAGCTACATCAAAAGAGGCGCTTTTGGGCTGAGACAGGCAAGGCATTTTGGGACGAGGGGAAGGGACCATTTTCATAGTCCTGCAATGTGACTGGACACTCAGAGGTGAGGCAGTTCCATAGAGACATTACTCCAACCAATGCGGTGAGTTCCCCAGAACTACGATATCATTCTCACCCCCCACACACGCCTCTCTGGCTACGGATTTGGCCGCTAGTAGCAGGGTTTGTTTGCACTACAGCTGGGGTGTCTGACCGCTGGAACAGAGGGCAGAGACCTGATACAAGGAGCTGCTACATGTGTCAGATGTGTTTTTTTAAGCCTTCCTCAGATGCGCTGGATGTTGGCTGCAGCCAAGGCTGAGGATTTTGACTAGGCTGTGCCAGTGCTTCTACTGGGACTTAAACCCAGAGGTTCCTGGCTCAAAGGTCTTGTGCCTCTACTCAGGGTCAGACTAACTACCATATTTGAGGTCAGAAAGGAATTTTACTCCATGGTCAGATTAGTTTGGATGATGTGGGTTTTTGTCTTCCTCTGTAGTGGGGGACATATCCCTCTACCTGGGATCTCTTGAGCATATATAAACAGCCTTTCATGGAAGCAGGACATTGGCTGCCATGGTCCCCTTGCTTTACCTGTGGCAGTTTAGGGTGTCATGTCTTGCATTATGTCAGGGCTGACAGTAGTTTTACTAAGAGTTTTGATTATGGATTTGTATAGGATGGTTTGGATAGGGGTGATCCTGCTGGACTCAATGACTTGTGGAGGTCCCTTCCAGCTCTACTTCACTGTGATTTCTGTGACTGATTTGCTCACTCAGCTCTGAAAACCCTGGGCAGGGGATGATATCCCAACCAACCAAACCTTCAAGGCCATGAAAAAGCATTACCCTGTAGGGAAGGAGGACAGCTTGCAAAAGGGTACAGGGCATCAGTTTGGTATGTTTCCACCAAAGGCACTGACTATTTAAGGATGAGAGGGATTTAAGGTGGAGGGGCAGGGTGTGGTCCTGCCACTGGTTTTGGAGACAGAACAATATAGCCCAAATACAGGCCAAATTCAGTCCTGCTCTAGGAAAGAAGCCATTGCCCTTGTGAAGTAACTAGAGTGGCATCTGCCAATGCCAGGGATTGGGATGAAGACTTGGTTTGGCAGGGAAAAGGCTTATCCTTAGGTCACATACACCCATGCAGTGTGGATCCAAAAAACCTCTCTCCATGCCAACCTGGCAGGATTTGAAGCACAGCTGTGCCAAGTCTCTGCCACTCCCTGAGATGCAAGGCACTGGCCAACTGGACTTTCCAGCTCTTTCTATAGGGTCCAGAAGCCCCAGGCTAGCTCAGAAGGTGAGAGCAAACCTGAGCAGGACCCTAACATGAAACTGAGCAGCTGGAATGGCCCCATTCAGATCAAGGGGAGTGGGAGGGAGGGCCTCAGCCCTGAGGTTTTCATCACTGCAGACTCTGCCCAACACCAGCAAGTTATTTCCAATTGCTGTAATTACCCCAGGGTGACTCCCCATGTGGACACCAAGGTAAGAGTGTCTTAACTCTGATTTAGCTCTGGAAGCAGTTTAAGATGAAACTAGCTCTTACACTGGATTAAGAGCACCCACATGGGGAGTTGCATCAATGTGACTACCTCTGCAGGACAGAGTCTGTGGCAGAGCAGATGCTTGTGATATCTTAGTCCAGGGCCCAAATCACTAGACCACCCTTCCTTCTGACAACCGCTCCCTTTCAGTCACTGGTGGGAGTGGGTAAGACCCTGTCATAGGTCACCACTGAGAGAAGCAGCAGCCTGAATCAGCAGGTGCAATACACAGGGATAGGGGTGGGATTTACAGACCTTCAGGTAGATGACAGCATCTGTTCCAAAACCCTCCATGGAGAAGAGCTGAAGGTCCCCTTGGAAATACTTGGCATAGAGTCTGGAAATGGGCAGGCCGTAGCCAAAGCCAGCCTGGTGGAGGAGAAGATACAGACAGAGGTTTATGGATACCACCCAGTCTCTGTGAGCCACCCAGCCACAGACAGTGGAGTCCTAACTCTGCTAGTGCCTCCCACTCCACATACAGCTAGGCAGAAGGGCCAGCCCCACCCCTGCAAGCTACATTAGCATATGGGCCAGTCGCTTCCCCACAGCTATAGAAGATCTGAGTACCGAGAACTGAAGGACCCCCCACCCCGACCTCTCCCCACAGGCTGACCAGTTAATTACCAACACCAAAGGACCCCCAATTAATTCCTGATGGGCCTAACCTGACATGATACGCACCAGGGGTGTCCCTCCTGTGCCTGGCTGTGGGGTAGGCGCTGTAGAGTACATGTAGCTGAAGAGCCGCTCGATCTTCCGCTGGGGGACCCCCTTTCCCCGGTCACTCATCTGTGTGACAAGACAGGATGTCAGTGGCTTGTGGACTTCCCACAACCCCTGCTCTGTCCTCTAGTGCTTCCCCCACCAGCTTTCATCAGGGGAAATCCCCTTCCACCCAAGAGCACCTTCTGCTGGCTGGTCTAGATGCAACATCAATTAGCTGCAACCAGTGCTCTGCCTGGATCTCTCAGCTGGAGAAAATGCCCTAACAAGACTGGGCATCAGTGTTGTGGGAGAGAGAAAATCCTGCTTCAGCATTAATGCTGCAGGCCCCCAGGCCTGGACTTCCCTGATGGCCACAGTAAAGAGATCAGACTGGATGAACAGGGAACCAGCAGAGCTCAACACCCCTCCCCTTCAGCCCCCATCTCTTGCCCTGTGGACCTGGGACCTCCAGACCTCACTTCACCCAGAAGAGAGCTGTTCAGGGTCATGGCCATGAGGTCACATTCCTTCTACTGTCCTCTGCAAGGAGGCAGAAAGCTTCCCTGTGTTCCAAGAGTGCCCACAATCTGGGAACTAGCTTGTGCCCCACAGCCCAAGGGGTGGGCAGAGATCCTTTCTATTCTCCCCTGCACCTTTCTCCCAAGGCACCTCACCTTGATGGACAGGTCCTCCTCGCCCAGTGCAACCATCACTCTGATGGGGGGGAGTCTCGGGCTGTTCTCATAGCTCTCCACAGTGGCCCGCATGGCGTTCTGAGGGGCAGGAAAATGAAAAGCAAGTCAGGAGATTTGGCAAGGGCAGCCAGGCAACACTTCAGAGCCAGCTGCCCACCTGCTGTCCCTTCTTTGCTTCAGGCAGAGATCATCAAGATGAGGAAATTCCTTCCAGATCCCATGACAACTCACAATCCTTCCCCCTACCTACTTGACTCCTTTAATAGACCAATGTATCCACCACCCCCTCATACTCTTCAGATGCCAATTTCACCTTGCCTGCTGCTGGGATACCCACAGCCTGGGACAGTCATGGAGGTTGGCAGGGGGGAGATGTGGACCGAGCAGAGACAAATGGTTACCTTCAAGGTTACAGCATAGAAAAGAAGGGACTTTACCTTGAAGAGCTCAAAGAGCATGTGGTAGAGATGGGACGGGACATAGACAATGCAAATGGGCTGTTCGGAGGTGTTCGCTACAATGGAAGAGCATGGAAACCATCAAGACAAGGCACCACCCAGAAGCTCAAGACATCTCCCCCCAGCCCTGTCCCCACCTCATCCCCCACATACACACAGGCTCAACTCTAACTGCCTGCACATGCACACCCCTGATCAGTCTGCTCCAAAAAGCACACACCTCTCCTGCCCAGACCCCAGGACTCACCATTGACCTCTTCGATCTCCAGCTCAGGTGAGGCCATGTAGTAATTGTCACAGAGCAGCTTGGCCATGTTATAGGCGTCTGTGGGGAGAGGAGATGGGAGGTGTCGGTAGACACACTCAGGGAGATATTTCAGTACCTGCTCTCCCCTGGGCAGGCTGAGAGTTCAGAATGTGAGGAGAGGCAAGGACGGTCAGCACCAACAGTGCCCAGAATGACAGACCAGAGCACCCTGCTCACCCACAGACCAGAGATGAACAAGGAGATGTTGGGCAGGCTGCTCTACTTCTGGGGTGCCAGGCTCATCAGGGACCCCCCCCCACCCTACCAGGGATAGTTGAAGCCAAATCTTTGTGGCCCATACATCCTCAGCTTCCCTTGAACATCCCCATGGGCTACCACTGGCTACATGTCAATATCTGCCCACCTTCATTGAGGCTGAGACCAACTGAATTCATTACACAGGAAGATTTGCAACAGGCAACTGATGGGAACAGCCTTCAGCCTCTACTATTCCAGTCTGGGGTCAGAGATGCTGACCCCTGAGCCAGCCAAGTCCCTACGAACCTCTCCCTAAGCAGCAGGAGAGACACCCACTCCTTACTCCCCAACCCCAGAGCTATCACCCCTTCTTGGACAGGGAGCATGGGGGAAGCTGCTCCTGGATCACTCCATGGCATAGATGGACACAGACCTTTCACCACCTCAGAGACATCACAGTGCGGGTCAATGCTGCCAATGTGCTTAGGATGAGCAGGATTGGTGCTGCCGTTGAAGAGTAGGGCTGCAAGGACAGATGGATGGGTGAGAAGAGGGAAAAGGTCTTGGCATAGAGCAGAACCTATGGGAATCTATTGTTGTTGCTTGTTATTTATTGGAAGCTGTTCTGAGCCGAGTTTAAGAGTTGGAGGGAGAATCCCAGAGGGGTGGAAAGCAGGATTGAAAAAAACCTTTTCCCTCCCATACAATCTGCTTACTTTCCAACTACACACACATTCCCCAGCCCCATTGTAGTCTCCTCTGCTCACAGAGTCCAGTCCTACACCCTTGTAGTCCAGCCCAAGTGCATTTTAAGCCCAGTGCCCATCAGTGTGGTATCTGACTCAGTTTTCCCCTATCCACTTCATCGGGCACCCGCTAGAGTGGGCAGGTGGGGAGAGGCTGAAGGCACTCACTGTGCTGGTTGATTAGCATGCGGATAGAGATGCGGCTCAAGTAGAAGCGATCCAGGAAGTATTGGATGTTCTGGTTGGACACAGGGTCATCTCCATAGGCTTCCTTGTATTCAATCACCCCTTGTGCCATGGTGGGTACTACGTCATTGTGCCGGTTACGGATGGTGATAAGGGCATCTGCAAACCTGGGAGGGAGGCAGCGGGGTCAGCACATGTGAGAGGCAGGTGCTGCTCCAGGAGCAATGAGACCAGCTCTCACCAGGAGGACCAAATGGAGAAGAAAAGGGCAGCAGCAAGAGGGCAAGGGACAGCTGGATCCACAGCAATGGAATGCAGGCCAGGTTTCTTTAGGTCTGAAATCATCCCCCTCTCTGTTCCTTCCCCACTACTCTGACACTGTATTGCAGCTGCCTGGAAGTCCTGGCATGGATTATGCTGCACAAGGATCTGAGGGACCCATGGGCTAAGCCAAGATTGTGCTGTGGTTCACTGGGATAGTAGGGACAGTTAGATCTCCCAGCCAGGTGACAAAGTGCCAGGGCAACTCAGGCCCCAGTGAAGCCAAGCACAAGCCCCACATCAGAGTCCGAAAGCAGCAGGCCAGCAGGAAAATGCAGCAGCTTTGCTCAGTGTCACCATAAACGAGATGCACCGAAATGGGCTGGCAGCAGACCTAAAAAAATTGTCATCTGATGTCAGGTGCATGGGATAGACAGGCCAGGGCTGGTACATGAGGGACAGCCCAACTTACTGCCCCAACGTAGCTCGGTCCTCAGCATTTTTGTCCAGGAACTCCATGATATCCAGCAGACTCTGAACATACCTGCAGGGTGGAATGGAAACACAGGCTGTTCATACGCCATGGTCCTGTGCTAGAAACACGGGTATGCACAGACCAGTCCCTACCACCTCCTTCCACTGTCAGCATCCAGACTTTTTTAGGAAAGAACATTTGCCTCAGCCTTACCCTGCCTGAAGACACAGAGGCAATTTACGAACAGGAACTGCTTGTCTTACAGCTGAAGTGCAGCCAGTTCTGGAGGTGGGCAGTAGCTGTTATGCATATGGTGCAGCCGTTCAGGAGCAGAAGCAAAGAATACTCAGGGATATTTAACGGCACAGGGTGGTTAAGACCTTCGTTTGGCATGCCCCAGCACCATGCAGTCACAATTATATTAATACTGAATTGGGGTGTTACAGCCACAGTGTTGATTCAAAAGCCACCCTCAATCAAAACTGTTTCCTGCAGCACCCAGGTACCCATGGAAATCTCCCATCCACACACTGACCCAGCCCAACCCTGTTTAGCTTTAGTCAATAGGATCCAAGCAGGGTAGAGATGCATCTGATGGATTCACTGCATCAGAATTACATAGGCTTTTGAGTGAGACCTCACTTCATCAAATGCTGTGAAAAGACTCTGGGCACTTCCCTTCACCAGCATCTGATAAAAATAAACACTTGGTCACAAATGTCTATGCACCTCCGATTCAGTTAGCCCAGCAGGTGCATCTCTACTAGCCCTTCTGCCTGGTTTCAGATTAACAGACCTACCTACTAGCATATCTACCTAACAGCCTCTAGGCTTGCAGCCATCAGCCCCCAGCCATGATGCATGCAGGATGCTTGTCTTTGTCCTGATTAGGTGGGTGGGCACAATGACAGGGATACAGTCTAGGCACAACAGCCCTGTCACCCACCTCTGCATCAGAAGGGTGGGGTGTGATGAGAACTGTGGTGGGGGAGCCCAGGGCTGGCCATTGAAGAGGAGACTACTAGGAAGGACAGAAGGGGTCCCAGGAGGCCTGTGTATAAGGATCCCAAAGCTGGGAGGAGGGTCACTGGGCTGGAAAGCCAAGTTTGTAACTGGGGAAGCAGGAGGTCGTCTAGGATAGGAGCTGTGCTGTGCAGGGAGGTGCAGGGGAACAGAAGCAGATGTCACCGAACCCCTGGTCCAAGGGGCTGCCCTAGGGTCTCCTAAGGCCTTTCAGGTTGAGCTACCCTTGGCACCCCACTGCAGAGGGATAGCAGGGCTATCAGAGAAAACCTGCAGTCACACAAACCACATGGCACAAGGCGGGTTGGGGAGGAAGGGGCAGCTGGTGCAGGAGCCACATGCATCCTTGTGTGACAGTTATGCTCAGCTGTCTCCGCAGGCGCAAGCCTGCAGATTCACATCAGTGGGGTCAAGAGCTGCAAAGGGTTAAAGACCCAGTCTTCTCTGGGGAAAGGGGAGCAAGAGGTTAAGAACCAGCACCAAGGCAGGAACCTGAACCTGCCATCAGGAGGGGTTGGCCAGGAGCACCATGGTATCTGGGTAAAAGCAGGGGCCAAGTGGTTCTTCCTTAGGACTCAGGCTCCCCCAGCCCCTTGGGACGACGATTCAGCTGGGGCTGAGCTGTCTCCTGGCCCCCTGCTCCCCAGCAGATGCTGCCCTTTTTGGATGCAGCAAGGAGGAGGCGGAGCAAGAAATAGCTGCACAAACAACCTGTCACATGGTCCCTGAAGTAGGACAAAGTTCAGGCTGTCGCAGTCTGCTCCTGGCAGGGAGCTTTGGGGGTGATCTTAAAGGGACACTGCTCCTTCCCCTGCCCCCCGCCCAGCTGGCTTTCTGCCCTAACCCAGGCCGCCCAGACCCACGCCGGATGGTGCTGCTGCAGAGGCAGCCTCATGAGCCAAATCCGCAACTTTACTGTGAGAAACTAGTGTGAGAAGAAACACAGAGGATGAAGAAAAAGGGCAGGGGGCATGAGAAAACCCAGCACCCTTGGAAGAGGCACTCTGGTATCAGGCCAGCACCAGGGCTGACAGGACCCTTTGGAGATTGCAACAGCATTAGGAGTGTTCGGGGTACTCGCTGCCTGGATTCCTGGAAAGCCCAGGGCATAGGCTGGAAATTGCCCTGCCGACTGCAAGAGCCAAATGCAAGCACGCTCTGTGCTGGGCTGGAGAAAGCACTGGGGGACAGGCCCGTCCCACTCAGACATGTTTGGTTTCCTGTGAACAGCCAGACTTTGTTCTCAGGCTGTACCTGGACAATGTTGGGCTGGAAAACCTGCCAGGGAGCACGTTCCAGGGCGCATTGCACCACATCTACACTGGAGAGCTTACAATGCACTTGCCAAAACCCATGAACATGGGATCATTTTCCTAGTATAAACGTTCGTAGTATATATTCCTCTCCAGCATGAACTGTCTGAGCACCCAGCCCCATCCCAATGATCAGCATTCCCCCTTGCAGCCCCCAACAATCCCCGTCACCCTTCAGTGCCATCCCTGAGAATCCTCCTTGGCAGAAGACAGACAACTAGCTTCTTCCTTAGGAATCCTTCAGGAATGGCCCCAAGATGTGTAGAAAAGGGTACCCTCCACAGTGCACCCCTACCAGCACCAGAGCCCTGTCAGGGCCCCCGGCCGACAGGGTCTTTCAGGAACCAGCTTCTCTCTTGCATTTTCTATTACCTGCACCCCCACAAATTAAAGCCCCCTCCTCAGAAAGGGTTGCTCTCGGGGGTACCCCAGGTTGGAGAGAGACTTACCAGCTCTGCACGAGCTGCACAGAGGATGTCCTGAGCACCCGGTCAGGCAGGAGGTTGATCTCCTTCATGATGTTGGCCAGCCGGACGGGCAGCTCCTGGCGCAGGAAGGTGAAAGAGGTTTTCTCGCAAGCATTGCTAGACCCTAAGGTTGGGCGACAGGACATAAAAGCCCCCTGTTAGCGGAAGCACCATGGTCCTACAACTGATAACAGTAGGGGAAGGCTCCCATCCCACAGTGATATACCCCTTATACCCTCAATACTTGTAGGAAGGCAGAAGGGCTGAGCACCCCTGGCTGGCCAGTACCTGAGGCCTTCTCCCACACCTCCCCTTGGAGCGTCTCCAGGGCGGTTCGAATTGCTATGTCTCAGCCACCCCAGCATATTCCTCACCCCATAAGGTGGGTCCAGTGCTGTGCAGCTCTAACCACTAGCCTACAGGCATTTGCAACTGCATGGCACTCACTAGGGTCTTAGGTACAGCCTTCCTGATCAGGTCACACTGATGCTTTCTGTGCTGCTTCCCTGCCCAGAGGCAGCCACCCCCAAAACAGCTCATCCCAGGGAGTTTATCCCCAGGTACCCAGCTCAGCATTAGCCTCCCGAAGGAGCCCAAGCTGCAGCACCAATCACAAGTGCTGCCCCTGCCCAACTGCCCTCAACAACCGAGGGACATAGGGAGCTAGTCCCACCCTTCTGGGGCCATCACAGGGTGGTCATTGTGGGTGGGACTGGTTTGTGGGAGGCCTGGAAGTCAGGACTTCTTTTGGGGAGGGGGGGGAAGAGGGCACTGTGCCACCGACTTACAAAGTGACCTTGAGCCTGTCACTTTGAACACTCTCACAGGGTGGTAGGGCACCCCATTGTGTATTCTGGACAGCAGCCACAGCTTAGCCCCAGAGCCATGAAGGGATGATAGAAACTGTGCTGGGCCCAGACCGAGCCTGGCACAAGTGGTTTGTTTGACAGCTAGGGCAGAAGAATCACTGCCTGTTCCCAAGCTGTGACACGTTGCTGGCATTGCTGAGGACAGCAGAACCTGATGATGCAGCTGGGGAGGAAGTGGGGTAGGCTGCCCTGCCCCACAGGGCCAGGAGCAGGGGGGAACTCCCAGCACAGCCCTGGGAAAAGGAAACTGTGCCACCAAGGGCACCAGCACCCCAGGGAGGAGGGAGATGGGTTACTCAAGCTGTAGGGTACCCAAGGGAGATGGGTTACCCTGTGCAGAGCAGAAAAACAATTTGGGGCAGAGGGGGAAAGGAATTGATTAAGAAACTGATTTCAAAGCAAGGCTGAAAGCGGCTGTTGGGAGAAGATAGCAGGTGGTGCAGGCTGGTAAACAAGGTCACGTCCTGCGTGTTTAGCATGCACACGTGTGCACACACACCCAGACAAGCGCAAGCCGAGGTGCCAGGCGGTCACGCATTGACGGCTGTTGTAATCCAACCAGCAGGACAGGCCGTACCACAGCAATGAGCCACAGCAGCAAGGCAGGGCTGTCCCTGGAGGTGCC